TCCCACCAACAGTGTAGGAGGGTGCCCGTTTCTCCACATCCTCGCCAGCATCTAGAGTCTCCTGATTTGTTCATTTTAGCCACTCTGACTGGCATGAGAATGAAACTAGATCATTTTCTCACACCATACACGAAAATAAAGTCAAAATGGATGAAGAACCTGAATGTGAGACAGGAAACCATCAAAACCCTAGAGGAGAAAGCAGGAAACAACCTCCTTGACCTCAGCTGCAGCAACTTCTTACTTGACACATCCCCAAAGGCAAGGGGATCAAGAGCAAAAATGAACTACTGGGACCTCATCAAGATAAAAAGCTTCTGCACGGTAAAGGAAACAATCCGTAAAACTAATAGGCAACCGACAGAATGGGAAAAGATAGTTGCAAATGACATATCAGATAAAGGGCTAGCATCCAAAATCTATAAGGAACTCACCAAACTCCACACCCAAAAGGCAAACAACCCAGTGAAGAAATGGGCAGAAGATATGAACAGACACTTCTCCAAAGAGGACATCCAGATGGCCAACAGACACATGAAACGATGCTCAGCATCCCTCATCATCAGGGAAATACAAATCAAAACCACACTGAGACGTTTTCTTGATGTCAACCTAGTGTCAGGTCTTCTGAAAGTCCTTCCCTGACCTCCCACCAGAAGCAGGACCTCTTTTGGTTTCTAGGTGTTCAAAGCACTCATCCCAACTTGTGACGGGTCATTTACTCTCGTGCTTCCTGGCCCATCTCCCTCCCTGGAGCTCAAGCTCCGTTCAGCTGGATCCGTCTTGTTTACTCCTGGGTCCCCCAGTGACCCCAGAGGGGACACCCCATAAATGCTGGTTCACCTGCGTTCTACTAAGAGCCGACACAGAGGGAACGCCTGCCTGTGTCAAATTTCCCCGCAGCACGAAGTGTGCAGGAGCCCGGGCAGGGGTCACCCTGGTGGCCAGAGGGCAGGGCTGGGAGCCCAGGCAGTCTGCTTCTGAGCAGGTCTCACCGGACGGGCAGCCTCTCCCCTTGGAACCGTGGAGTCTTGTTTACCAGGCTGCTCACATCTGCACCCTGTTTGGCCCTCTTGAGATGGTGAGCGGGACTTTTCAGGGGTGGCTGCCGACTCCACGGGCAGGGGGCCTGTCCGAGGTCAGCCTGTGGTCTGTGGGGGACCCCAGCTACCGGTTGAGATTAGCCAGCCTCCTCCATTAGACCCCCTTCTGCCCGCTGTTAGCTTCCTAATTATCACGAAATCCGTGACATAAAACAACACAAATGTATCATCTCACACTTCTGGCCAGAAGACTGTAATTAGCATCTCCGCGAGCTCTGGGGAGAAGTCTTTCCTGCTTCTTCCAGCTTCCGGTGGCTCCTGGCGCTCCCGGGCTGATGGCCACGTCTCTCCAAATCCCGGCTCTGTCTTCACAAGCTCTTCTGTCCTTCGTGTCTGTGTGTCCGAATCTCCCTCCCCTCTCTCTTATCAAGACAGAAGCCGTTGGATTGAGGACCCACCCTAAGACTCAATTTCATCTTGAGATCTTTAACTGATTCCATCTGCAAAGGCTCTATTTCCAAATAAAGTCACATTCTCAGGTTCCACATAGGTACAAATATTGGGGTTACAGCGTTCACCCCACCCTACAGGCTCACCTCTGCTTAGGTCTGCCCCCCCACCTCGTCTGGGCTCTGACACCCTGATCCCTATGTCTGAGTGCACCTGGCTGTTCGTTCTCCAGCAGCCCCCTTCCATCTTCCCCTGGCTTCATGGCCTCACTCACCCCTGCGCCACAGCATCTGGGCCACATGGCACCCCGCCCACGCGTGTCTCAGCCCATGGATTCTGAGCTTCGTGTGGGAGGGGCTGTGTCTTGAGTTTCTGCAACCCCAGTTTTCAGGCGTTTGCAAAATGTTGGAGGAAAGCAAAGGAAGAGGAGAGAGAAGGGTAAGGGAGAAGGTGCAAAGCCGAGAGGCTTTAGCATCAGAGGAGGCGGCGGCTTCGGGCTGTGGTCCCTGCAAGCATTTGGGGGTTTATGCTCCGTGGGCCACGGCCACCTCCTCCCGGATCCCCACGTCCCAAACAAGGTCCCGCTAGTCCTCACGGGATCGCTTTAACATTCGCCGCTGTGTCTCCATTCTTTTTTTTTTCTTCCCCATCTTTATTTTTGAGAGAGTGGGAGAGAGCTGTCAGCACAGAGCCCGACGCGGGGCTCGAACCCATGAACCATGAGATCATGACCTGAGCCGAAGTCGGACGCTCAACTGACTGAGCCACCCAGGCGCCCCACCCCTTCTACATTGTTGACAAGTACTTAGTTCCCCCTTTGTTTAAATTTTTTTTTATGTTTTATTTATTTCTGAGAGAGACAGACAGCGTGAGCAGGGGAGGGTCAGAGAGAGAGGGAGACACAAAATCTGAAGCAGGCTCCAGGCTCTGAGCTGTCAGCACAGAGCTCGACGCGGGGCTCGAACCCATGAACCGTGAGATCATGACCTGAGCTGAAGTCGGACGCTTAACCGACTGAGCCCCCCAGGCGCCCCACTTAGTTCCCCTTTGCTTGAGAGCCCTACTGGGAGGCACCCTGCACAAGGACCTAGTATTTGCTGGTTTGATGCACAAACCCTTAAGTCTGTGTCTTCTGCCTTTTGTTTTAATTTTAGAAGTTCTCGAGCTCCTCCTCCCCGCTGGGACTCCGTGAATCATCATCTCTGTCCGCTGTGGATGTTTTGTGAACTCGGCAGTGGCAGGGTGGGGGTGGGGGATTGATCCATCTGCATAATGCTCATCACTATTCACGTCTCAAAAACTCACTGTGAAAATAAAAGTTTAAATATATAGGTTGAGTGTTTCTTTCATCCCCAAAGCCATAGACACTGCACCGCATGATTACAAATAAGCTCCGTGTGTTTTCAGGTACAATTACTAGTTGATAAACTCAGCGGCAAATGTTTTCTATTTTGAAGCAAGCTGACGTTAGTCTCAGAAGATTTGACGTTTATTATAAATGAAAGAGTCGGGTTTGCATTTCTAAGGGCTATGGGTTTAATACCGAGCTGCGGGGAGTGTATGCATGTTAATGATAAGTAAATCGGGGCTGAGGATGTCAACTGAGTTTCTCCAAGGCTTTTTTTTTTTTTTTTTTTTTTTTTTTTTACAGTCAACCTTCCCTTCCTCACTCTTCCGTGTTTCCTGTGTGTTGACAAAGACTCTCTCTCCTCAATCAAACTTCACTCCAGCTCTTTGGAGTTCTTTTGCAAGTAGTCCTCAACTCTTGGGCTTTCTTGTTCCTCTTTGCATTGTCCAGTCACAGGGAAGACCCGTGACATTGGTGTTGCCAGAAGCCTCCGTCCTTCATACCTCAGGCGCCTCACCCCCTAGGTGATGTCCAATGCCTCAGCCTGCCTTCAGCGCAAGTTCTATCGGGTGGCTTTACCCAGAGTCCCCCTCCCTTGATGTTTCCAGTTAGTAACTTTACATCCATGATCCCCACCTGCTCCTTGGCTGCAAATTGAGGCAGGTTTCCCCTGCTGCAATTGTCCTGAGTAAAGCCTCTGCTTACACTTTGGCTGCTGCCCACCTCTGAGTTTTCTCTGACAGCGTCTACTAGAGACAGGCACTGTGCTAGGCACGAGGTGCAGAGGTAAGCCCATGCCTTGAATAAGCATGTCTTGGAGTTGGAAGACCTTTGCTCTCATGGTGATGTTCGGTGGAACTTTCCAGAACTTTCCAGAAACTCCCCAGCCCACACCCTAAAAATGGACCCACAGACTTTCTCCCCAAAGGGTCAGATAATAAATATTTTGGGCTCTTGGGACCACATTAGTCTCTGTGCTACATCATTTCGTTTTTGCTTTATGTGCCTGTCTTGTTTTCACAACTTCTTAAAGAAGTAAAAGCCCTTCTTAGCCTCACAGGTGGTACAAAAAGTGGCTGAGGGCTGGGGGTGGCTGATCTCTGACCTGGACAAGTTGACAGCCCTCCCTGAACCTCCTTTCTGTATCTGTAGAGCAGAGGCCATCACCCTTGGGGGAGTTACCTAGCAAGGTGGGAGGGCTACTTTCCATTAGGAGGGGGGAGCTTCTCTACCTGCTGGCGGAGACCAGGAGCTCAATGAGTGGACACTCTTGGGAGTCCAACACCAAAAATTGTTAAGAAATTCCTATAAGTGGGGCTCCTGGGAGCTCAGTCGGTTAAGTGTCTGCCTTCAGCTCAGGTCATGATCTCACGGTTTGTGGGTTCGAGCCCCGCGTCGGGCTCTGTGCTGACAGCTCAGAGCCTGGAGCCTGCTTCCGATTCTGTGTCTCCCTCTCTCTCTGCCCCTCCCCTGCTCACGCTGTTTCTCTCCCTCTCTCTGAAATAAAGCTTTAAAAAGTTTTAAAGAATATTCCTATAAGTGAAATTGCCAGGCTAAATGATGTGAGTGTTTAAAATCTGGTTACATATAAGGAAAGATTGAAATATTGTTACAGATTGAGGGAAACAAAAGAGACCTGACAGCCAAATGTAATGTGAGATCCTTGTTGGATCCCGAAACAGAAAAAGGACATCAATGGAAAAAATCTATGAAATCTGAATTAGATCTTTTATTTAGTTAAGAATCTTGTAGCAACGGTAATTTTTTGCTCTGCTAAGTGTACTATGAGGCAGGTAATGTTAACGTGAGGAGAAGGGGTGCAGGACAGATGGGAACTCTTTTGAGCTATAGATGCACTTTTCTGTAAATCTAAAATGATTTCAAAATAAAAGTTAAAAATTCTAGTAAAAAAAAAAAGAATATTCGAGAAGAAGGTATTCCCACAGTCGAGTTGCAGTTCCAGGAAACAGGAAGGAAGCGAGAACACAGGTGCTCTGTTACCATAATCACTGCTCCCCTGCTCCCTGTCTGAGGAAGACACATGCGTGCTGGGGGTTGTCAGGTGTTTCTCGGCGCTGGTCCCCAGGTGGCATGTTTGTTATGTGCTCATCAGTAGGCCCCAGGAATCACATTTTCCGCCTCTTTGTTTTCTCTTCCAGAGACATCAAGCCCGACAACATACTTCTGGATGAACACGGTAAGCCTCTTACGCATGTTTTATAGGGATGCTTCCGGTGGGGAGCTCGAGGCTCTGGGAAACCGGGTAGCTGGATTCTAGAGCTGATAAGAAACCCTTTATTTTGTTCAATTCTGGTGGGTGAACACCTGTGTAATTTCCGGTCTGTGTCCTGAGCAGTGAGTCAAGCCCAGCGTGTTTGAAGGTTTTGTGGCCAGCCACGTAGCCGCTCTGGTCCTGGCGTGAGGATGACGGGGCGGAGGTGGGAATGCAACCCACCTGCGAGGTGGGGCGAGCTCCCCCACCTGCGGACCTGTGGCTTCGGGAAATCCACTCACCTCTCTGAGCCTCAAGGTCACCTTCTGTAAAACATAAAATGGCGCCCACCCTCCAGATTCTCATGGAGATCAAATGGCATCATCCATGGCTCGCAAGCCAGAAGGCAGTAACCAATAATCCACCAAGCTTTCTTCCCTGATCCTGGCTTCTCGAGCTTTCATGTGTACACAGACCCTGATTCAGTAAGTCTGAGGTGGGGCCTGGACTCTGCGCTTCTGACAGCTCCCAGGCGAGGCCAACGTTGCTGGTCAATGGACCTCACTTGGAGAAACAAGGCTCTGTGTCCAACTTTGGTCTCCATGGAGTCTCCTGAGGGATTTAGTAAGAATTAAAGTCCATTCCCCATCTTGCTTCGGCCTCTGTGTTTTGACTCACTCCCAGGGATGTGACGCCCGTCAAAGTCAGGCCCATTAAGTCCAGGGCGTGGCCCAACAACCCACAGTTCAGCTGATCTGACACTCATCTGCAGCCTGCCGCCACGGGTCACAGCAGCCTTGAACATGAACTTTGCTGCCATTGCTTTGGGGGCCTCATCCCCTAAGGGCTTTCGGGAGGGTGGGGTGGAGTGAGCAGCTAGGGAGTTTTCTGAGGTGCTCCTGCATCGTGCAGGGATGAGGTTGCTGCCTCTTCTACGCAGCTCCTCCAAGCCTCCCTCCCTGACCCCAGGAGGTAGAGGCTGTGGCTCCTTCTAGAAGCCTCTCTGGAAACCTATTTGTGTCACCAGTGAGTCTCAGGGAATCCTACCTCATTGTATCAGCTCCTTGGTATTGGAATATGGAGAGCAGGAGTGGCGGAATCTGGGCGCGAACCTCCTTCCAGAAGCTGAAACCAGCCTGGGTGTTTTGGAGCAGTGGGCTGAAATTCCTGTGCTCAGGAATCAAGGGTCAGGGATGACCTCAAGATGCTGGGGGGCCTGGGCAGAGCTGAGGATGCAAATCAAGGCCCCCAGTTAGTAGATACAAGTCGGGATCCCTGGATGTGGAGCTTCGCTGACCCCCTCCCCCAACTCTCTGTGTGTCTTCGGGCAAGTCGCTCCACCACTCTGGGTCCTGGCCTCCCCAGCAGGAAAACAGAAGTGGTGCGACCTTGAGGGCATGGTGACAGGGAAGGTCAGCCCGTCACGAGAGCAGGACATAAAGGGTGCTCCCTCAACCTCTCCCAAACCCTTCTCTGCTCAGGGCAGGGCGGTGGGATCGAAGAAGCAGGGGCTCACAACTTAATAGGAAGAACTCAGCCATTTTATCTGAGAGGCAATGACACCCAGCCTGTGTGACTCCATGGTTCATATGTGATCCTCCCGGCTCCCGGGCACTGGCTTCTGGAGCCGCTGCACCCAAACACTCAGGTACACGGGCTTCTGGCTCTCTCCTTGTTCCTGAGCTCTGGGTCTCCATCCATCCCCTCCCTCCTCATCTCAGCTCTCCACTCAGCTTCCTTCCCCTTTCCTTCCAGACCAGACCTCCCCCCAGTTCTCTGAGCGCCCCATCCTTCGCCCCTCCCACATGGCTTTCACGGTGTCCTGACCCCGCCTCTGGCTTTGCAGCATCCCACACCCCCCCCCCAAGGGCCTGGGGACTGACCTTCTTCGCTTCTCTAAGCTCCTGTGTCGCAGGGCGATCTCTTCTTGGTGTTGAGACACAGCACTGAAACACTATTTCATACAAAAGAGCAAATGACTCCTGCCCCGCCCCCAACTTTAACATTCAACGAGTGCCTTTCCAGGCAGTGCAGGAGGGAAATTTAGGAGCAGGGAATTCTCCATAGAACACACAGGGCTTCTCCCCAGAGAGCCTGTGGCCATGGTCCTCCCTTTCCTGATTTATATTAGGAGCCACTCATCAGCTTTAATTCCCCCTTAGTCATTGTTGCCTTTGACTGTATTGAGGTGTGATTGGCCAATAAAAATTATATATGCTGAGGTTGTACAATGTGATTTTTATAAAGGTGTACAACATAATGATTTAATGTATGTATACATTTTGAAATGATTAGCCCAATCATATTAACTAGCATATCCATCATTTCATCTTACTTTATGTATGGTAACATTTAAGATTTACCTTCTTTTTTTTTATGTTTATTTATTTTTGAGAGAGAGAGAGTGTGTGTGAGCTGGGGAGGGCCAGAGAGAGAGGGAGACACAGAATCCGAAGCAGGCTCCAGGCTCTGAGCTGTCAGTACAGAGCCTGACATGGGGCTCGAACTCATGAGCGGTGAGATCATGACCTGAGCTGAAGTCAGACGCTCATCCATCTGAGCCGCCCAGACACCCCTAAGATTTACTTCTTAACTGAGTTCAAAAATACAATAGAGTGTTACTAGCTACAGTCTCCATAACGAACATGAGATCCCCTAACTTTATGCTAATTGCATTACAGAAAAGTTTACGAAGCAGGTGCTAGTGTTGCTGTTTAAAGAGTTTGATTGTGGGTCTCATCGACCCTTTTCCTCCGAGAACAAGTCATTTGGCTGTGTTTACAGTGGAACATAAACACAATGAAATGCATGCACTCACAGTTTCTTAATAACGTTCAAGTTCTGCTGGTTACACAAAATCTAAGGCTCTCATACGAGCTTTGCCGCTCTCTCTGTGTCTCCTGTGCTTTCTGAGCCTTTACACTGGGTTTAATCCTCTCAGACAGGCATCTGGAGGAAAATGAGGTTGGAGGAAGGGGAGTGTGGGGAGGAGTGCCGGGCGTACGTTAGGGCTGAGTGCAAAGAGCTCAAGGAAATGGGGACTGAAAGTTGCAAAGGGAAAGGGGAGGGGTACAGCCTTTCCTACCGGGAAAATGATGCTCCCTAATGAATAACCACATGACTTTAATGCACAAACAGGAAGCATCTAGTCGGCTCCTAGGTCTGCATGGGCTAAGCTCTCACAGACAGGCTCAATCCTAAGACTGAGCTCAGGTGGGGTCAGCCAGGCAGCTCTGGTGATGTTGGCTGTGCCCAAGGGCTGCCTACTTCCGGCTGGTACATCCTGGCCTTCCTGGGCCACTCAACTTTGCCGCTCCTGGCCCCCCCTCTGGCCGCCAGCCCTGCATGGCCTCTCCAGGCCACAGTGGAAACAGGGGCACAGAAAACCCTCAAGCACACGCCTGTGTCACATTTATAAGAGTCAAGCGTCAGAAAACCCTGCCTTTCTACCCTGGGTGTCCCTGAGGGTCCTTGTGCGGCATTCACTGCTGCTCTAGCCCTTGACCTCTGAGTTCAGGAAAGTGACTCCTTCATTTTTTGCACTGGCATAGGCCACCCGCTGTGCCAGGTGATCCAGAGGACGGGGCTCCAGTGGCTTTTCTCCAAAAAAGTGCAGAGGGCGAGCCCCGCCCACGGATGGGATTCATCCCACAGACAAGGTGGCATGCGGGGGCATTTGTAAGGTAGCTGGTGGTTCTGGGGTCAGCGCAGGGGCCGGGTTGTACAAAAGCTGAGGGACCGGGCTGGGTCCTGCTGTGTGAGCGGGGTCCACAGGGCACGTGGGGGCAAGTGAGGACGCTCCGCTGCAGGAGACCGTAAGGAGCCCCCCCAGCCCACACTTTCACAGCTGCCCTCAATCTTCGGCATCGGGTCACACGGCAGCGCCCCAGTGGAGCGGGTTTGCTTTTCTCTCGTTGTCTTAACCGTGTCTTTGCCTCCTGACTTCTGATGCTCGACTTCTTCACACTCAGAGCCACTATCCACCTGCCCCAGTCACCCCGGGGCCAGACCCCTGCACCCCAGAGCTCCTGAGATCATGCAGGTCAGCCAGTCCTAAACCTGCTTGCCCTGCCTCGCTATTCCTTCCCGCAGAAACCACCAGCAAGCCCCTTGCCCACGTTTTCACCCTTCTCTCTCAGCCTTGCGGCCGACCCTGAGCTCATCCATGCAGCCCCCATGACACAGTGTACCCCCGTCTCTTGGGTACGCCGAAGAACAAGCTATCTTTTCAATGGCAATTGTCTCCTGATCTGTTGACCTCAGTGTACTCAAATGTCCCAATAACTGATGCATTGTAGAGTAATCATTAACCTAACTCGTCTCTAAGAGTCCACCCTCCATGGCCTGACATATTTGTTGACAAATGTGAGGAGCGCTCCCCAAAATGGTAGCGGACAGGAGCATCGACTCTCCCTTCTCCCTCCTCAAAACTCTTTGCAGGCTTTCTCCATCACCCCTGGAGGGAGAGATGCCAGGGCAGCCACAGGTGGGCGTGTGTCATCTCTGAAGCCTCAGGTCCAGGGATTAGATCAGTGGAGAAAGAAGCGGGGGGCAAGGGGGTGCTTTCCAAGTCAGAGGAGTCAACAGCTCCTTATGCAGACAAAGTGCCAAGCATTTCAGGATAGAGTGCGTGAGGGGGTTGAAATCTGTTCTGGGCGTTCTTGGGAGGTGGTAATGCGGTTCTTTTCGGAGGGGCTGCAGGGAATGGCCGTTCCTCGTGCAGCCCGATGCCAAGGCAGAGTTGTAAAGCCCTAAAGCCTCAGCGCAGGAGTCTCTGAAAGCCCCCAATACATAGCCCCTGACTCAGTTTCCTACAGGTGCCGTAACAACGTCCCACAGATGGGGAGGCTCAAACAACAGAAATGTATTGTCTATTACTACTAGAGGCTGGAGTCCAAGGTCAAGGTCAAGGTGTGGATGGGGCTGTGTCCCCTCTGAGGCGCCAGAGACGGGTCCATTCCTGTTCTCTCCGTGAGCTTCTGCCT